TTTATCTCCTGCTCTGTAAATTGAACTTTAATTACATAAAGGGGATCCTGCATGGTCTAGCAAGCTATTAACAGAGCAGGAGATAGGACATTCTAAATTAAACAGCATTTACAAAAAAGGAAGTTTAAACATTAGATTACTCTTTACAGGAAGTGTTTAGGAAGGCTGTGTAAGTCACATGCAAGGAGGTGTGACTAGGGCTGCATAAACAAAGTGATTAATCTCCTAGATGGCAGAAAATTGAGCAGTGAACTCCAGGGCATGATCTGCTTCATTAAGCTAAAGTGTCCTTTTAAGTATTTAATCCAATCTAGCAAAATATATTCAGTTGACCATGGATAAGACAGTTCTCCATATAGCCGTGTGTTGGCCAGTCTATTAATCACTGCATGAATTGATGGAGGAGACTGAGATTTACATGTATTAGCAGCAATACAAATTTTAGCTGCACTTATGCTAAATGAAATATAGAATATACATTTTTTGTAGCTCCTTGATGTCCATCAGGAAACATGTAGCAGTAGTGTTTAGACACAGGTTGACAGAGGTGGTAAGATAAATCATATCCTGAATTTGAATCTTGATACCTGAAAGTTAAGAGAAAGACCAAAACACATGCAATTGAGTCCCAGGTGCTGATTGGCATATGCAGCATAGAGGTAATAATGAAAGGAAAATGTGCATATAATCCAGAGGTATTAGGTACCAGTGCATTAAAAACTTCAACTGGGCTTCCCAATGGCTTAGGCTGTGGAGATGCAAATGTGTGTGTGCGTATGTGTGGATCGTCAGTTTGCTGTTGATACGCAGCTTAGCTGCAGTTTTCAAACCCAGACATAGTTTTTGTAGGGCAGAAAGATGTAACATAGTTACATAGTTACATACAGTGGCGTACACACAATCCATGGGGCCCCGGTGCAAAACTGATCCATGCCTCCCCTAACCCCCAACAGACACACACACACACACACATACATACATAGAGACACACATAGACACAGACAGACAGACAGATACATACAGACACATACACACATACATACAGACAGACAGACACACATACATACAGACACACACACACACATACAGACAGACATACACACACATACACATAGACACACATGCATACACACAGACAGACATACACATACATAGTGCATTAATGTCCTTCTTTAGAACAGGTGCCCAAAATTGCACAGCATATTCAATATGTGGTCTTACCAGTGATTTATAAAGAGGCAAAATTATATTCTCATCCTGAGAATGAATGCCCTTTTTCATGCATGACAATACCTTACTGGCCTTAGCCACTGCTGACTGGCATTGTACATTGTTGCATAGTTTGTTTTCTATAACAATAGAGATGTCGCAAACCGTCCGCGAACTTCTCGCGAACGGTTCGCCGCGGTTCGCCACGATCTGTTCGCGGCGAACTCCGGTCAGCTGACACATCCTGGCCAATCTCCAGCAGACCCTCCCTCCCAGACCCTCCTACTTCCTGGACAGCATCCATGTTGAAGCTGCCTTATTTTTTTTAATGAACTTCCGCTTTCAAGTCACGCCCCCCCAAGATATGCATTATTGTCGGCATGGAGAATGTTGCGTTAGAAATATAAAGAAGTACATCAGCTGCAAAAGTTTTCAGTAACATCAGAGAAACCAGCAGACTGTTGCAGTCTAATGATAGTGTCCAAGGCCAGTTTTAACAGTAAAGGAATGTGCACACTCCAAATAAGGTCTATTAACCCCCAGAGAACACAACACACCTCTACATGGGTGGATTCACTGTACTCGGGAGATGTGGCTGAACACATATTGTACGTGGTAAACCACCCTTTCTTTGACCATTGGTTCTGAGTTCAAGCTATTAGCTGATATTAGTAGATGGACAGTTATATAGGCCTTTGATGTTATAGAAAAAGTGGATACCAAATAACTTATACGCAACATTTCAGAAAAGTTGTGGCTGTACACATTGTCACTTTATTTTGGTTGTGCAGAGTTTAACAATTATGTATGCAAAACAATTCTCAAGAGTATATTAATTTCAAAAACATATATGCATGAGTTATCTGTGGTACAGCACTTTTTTTTTGTTATAAAAGAGAATAACCAAAATATCTAGTTGTACTTGAAACGGCATGTCAACATAAGTGTAGCAGCCATGACACACAACGAACAATACCTTAGACATGTCAAGAATGGTGCTCTTTTTTTTTTTCTCAAAAGAAAGTGAAATTAAAATAAGGTGAAAACTGAGTGAAACAAGTAACAGTATACACATCGACATGTGGAGGCAAGATAAATAGGCACGGTTATAGGCATATATTGTAAGGCTAGGGGTAGGTCACTGCAGAAAAACCTAGGTTTCAGCCAGAAGTGTTTGTTGAACTGGTTATGATATTGTGTGTTATTAAACTAAACATATATCCTCCTAAACAGCAGAGTAAACATAAGGAAATATCACTGACAAGCCTAGGGACTAACTGTGAATAATGTAAATCCCATCTGTGTAACAAAAGCATAGACATGATATATATTGGCTAAACACTCTCTGTCATGGTATCAGCAGTATGTTACAAGATTAATGGTATGCTAGCCTGCGCCCAGTGTGGATGGGTACTATCAACTATAGAAAGCAGAGCAAAATATGTTTCATTGATAATATGTTGCTTTATAAGGTTAGTCTAGTATAAGTGCCAGTCAGTCAATGCCCTGGCTGGGTATGCATCTGCCATTCGAGCACTGTCCATGCCAGTAAGTGGTGTGGTAGAACCAAGAGGTGCCCTCCATGCCCCAGACCTGTTCCAGAGCCTGCACTCCTGTCTCACAAACTCGGTTGCTCTGCTAGGTCAAGTTCTCCCCCTCTTGGTAAATGCAGGTGGCCTTTTTAGGCTTATTTAGATGTCATCAAATATATCCCGAGCGCTTCTGCTTGCATGGCTGGTGCGTTGGTGTTAATCCATGTTCGGCTCCAGGCCCAGGTTGGCTCAAGGTCGGCTTGTCAGGTGATAGCTTGGTCGTTGAGTTGCCTGTGAAGGTCCCCATAGGCCTTCATCCCCAAGATTCCTCTGTTCCCTTGTCAATATTACAGTGCCAGGGGCTACTCGATTCTTTCTTTACTCCAGGGCAGCCCAGAAGTGATTGAAAACCGAATCCAACCGATCCATGATGCTGTGATAGGGGTTCGTGAGGTCGGCAGGGTGTGTTGCCAAGCATTGTGTCTTCAGGGTGTTGGCATCCGCGATCTTATAAAGCTGACCCTCTCCTGGACCACCCCAGAGTTGCCGTCCACGCTACTCTGGGCTTTGATATGCGGCCTAGGGCAGGCCAGGAAAACCCCCTGGCCCAGAGGGGTGGGGGAAACAGGGCAATGGAAAGCTTCTGCAAGGGCTCAGACCGCCACAGACTGGGAAAGTGGACGTCTCTCCCACATATAAGAATTCAGGGTGTGCAGTCAGATTTGAGAACCGAGAAATGAGCTCTCACAGGATGTGTCCAGTCCCCCTGGCAGTCAGACTCCACCCCCATGTTATTCTACTGATACATTTTTCAATGTGGCTGACTCCCTCTAAATAAGCTGCAATTAAGGTCACTGTTTGGGCAAGCTTATCCCTCTCTACCTGGGTATATATATGTACACTTCATTGCTTTTTGTTATACATGATTAAGGCCTCACTGCCGAAACATTGTATCCTTGTTTTGTCCTGCGTTCCACAATAAACCTGCCTTATTCTCCCTGCGCTGTGCAGTCTGTGGCTCTTCACTTGTGGATATATTTGGAGGTTAGTGGACCTCTACCACACAGCTCTGGTGCTACTGATACAAGTGTGCAACACTGTACTACTTCTCCAAATAAGCTGTTGCTGCTTCAGCTTTAACAGTCCATGAACGCTGGTCATCAGATCCTTAATTTGGACCTTAAGCACTTTAGAAAGCATCTTGCCCTTGATTTCTTTTTTGGCTGTTGTACATCGATGTCATTGCACTGCTGGTCCTGTGTTATGGATGCCAAGGAGTTATCACTGCTGCAGCTGTGCGTTTCTGTATCATTTGCGAAGGAAAATATCATCTTATTAACTTAAATCAAGGAACCTCTTAAAAACTTCTATATCATTACTTAATAAATGGGTAATCTAAAATATGCCACTTTGAGTTCTTACCTGCTGCTCTTGATGTTCTTCTACTTTGACATTTACTTCATTTATTTGCTGTCCTTCTGTTTGGCATGTCGCTTCTACTGTTCCTTTCATAATTCTCAAAGTCTGCGCACGCTACACATCAAAAGAAAAGAAAGGTTTCACATTTATTTACTTAAGCAGTCCATGGAACATTGCTACGATCAACACTAATCTAAATAAACTACAACAAATATATATTGCAATTTCTATAGAGTTAGATCAAATAAATACAGAGGGGAAAACAGGACGATATACTGATAAACTCACAGGGCGTAATGTGAAATTAAATTAAACTCTATGGGGCACAATATATTACATTGACACACATGATGCTCTATGTGAAATGAAGTTAGGGCATTTATCTATAATGTATGGCAGTGATGTAACACGAAGTTACACTGTTCATCTATAATATATAATATTAATTCACATTAATTTACTCACAGTTTTTCTCGCAGTCTCTGCTAGCTCATTCTTTTCATTAACACTGACACTGTTATCTCTAATCCTTACTTATCAGGACCATTCTGTGAAATAGGATAAAGTAAAAATAGGAATCAGGAAAATACTCCTAAATATTAAAAAATCTGATGATAAGATCATTAATTCTTAATGTATGTACTCATTTTAAAACCCTACACATAAATTAAATTTATTAATAAAATAAATAGTAAAACGAAAAATTATCCTCGGAACTTACTTCACACTAGACCCAATTAAATTGTTGTTTTCTTAATAGCTATAAATGTATTTATTAAAAAAAGAATTTACCTTTTTTGCTCCAGCTTTCACAGTCCATGAACGCTGGTCATCAGATCCTTAATTTGTTGATTGTGGGGAGCGTTTCTGGAGACTGACCACAGGTGTTGCACAACAGCAGAATAAGGACCTCAAGCACTTCAGAAAGCGTCTTGCCCTTGATTTCCTTTTTGGCTGTTGTACGTTGATGTCATTGCACTGCTGGTCCTGTGTTATGGATGCTATGGAGTTATCACTGCTGCTGCTCTCATCAGTTATGGATTCCTGTATCACCTGAGAATGAAAATATCATCTTATTTAGTTAAATCAATGAATCAATGAAATCTCTGAAAAACTTCTATATCATTACTTAATAAATGGGAAATCTAAAATATGCCACTTTGAGTTCTTACCTGCTGCTCTTGATGTTCTTCTACTTTGACTTTGACTTCATTTATTTGCTGTTGTTCTGTTTGGCATGTCGCTTCTACTGTTCCTTTCATAATTCTGAAAGTCTGCGCACGGTACACATCAAAAGAAAAGAAAGGTTTCACATTTATTTACTTAAGCAGTCCATGAAACATTGCTACGATCAACACTAATCTAAATAAACTACAACAAATATATATTGCAATTTCTATAGAGTTAGATAAAATAAAATAAATACAGAGGGAAAAACAGGACAATATACTGATAAAATCACAGGGCGTAATGTGAAATTAAATTAAGTTCTATGGGGCACAATATAAAATGTGATATTACATTGACACACATGGAGCTCTATGTGAAATGGAGTTACATTTCACATAAAGTTACACAGTTCATTTATAATCTATAATATTAATTCACATTAATTTTCTCACAGTCTCTGCTAGCTCATTCTTTTCATTGAAAATCTCTTCAATTCTTTTCATCAACGCTGACACTGATATCTCTAATCCTTCCTTATCAGGACCATTCTGTGAAATAGGATAAAGTAAAAATAGGAATCAGGAAAATACTCCTAAATATTAAAAAATCTGGAGAACCCCAATCTGATTAACAATGTCTATTGAGTAAGATAGGATCATTCATTCTTAATGTGTTTACTCCTTATAAAACCCTACACATAAATTAAACTAGCTATACAATAAATGGTCAAATTAAATCTTCTGAATTTACTTCTTCACACTAGACCAAATGAAATTGTTGTTTTCTTAATAACGATAAATGTATTCATAAAAATAGGAGTTACCTTTTCTTGCTCCATGACTGAAATGTGTAAAATTCTACTGTAAATCCCTCTGTTACTATGGATACGACATGTAATCACTGCTGTACATAGCCTAACACTACGTGATGTTACATGGCGTTAGATTAGGGGTAGGCAACCTTCGATACTCCAGATATTGTGGACTACATTTTCCAGGATGCTTTGCTAGCTTTATGGCTGTAAGAGCATTATGGGAGATGTAGTAACATCTGAAGTTGCCGAAGGTTGCCTACTCCCGAGGTAGGCTATGTATCTACAATGTATGGCTGTGATACATGCAGGGGGATGGGACATGGGTTTGCACTGCATACCTCCCAGCATTTCAAATGGACAAAGAGGGACACTTTAATTTTAGTGGTGTGTGGACAGAGGGCGGGGCTGTTCTGAGAAAGTTTAGGTGATTTACTAATAATAATTTATACAAATAAAATGTAATTTAGACGGAGTACAATGTATCTAATTTACCCAGACTGGTTTCTAAACACAGTATTAAAACACATTACTTTGAGTATCATTCATGTGGAGTTTTGTACACTCAGACACACTAAATTTATGGGTCAACTAGAATAAAGGGACATTAGGAGAGAAAGAGGGACAGAGGGATTTGGGCCCAAAGTAGGGACAGACCCTCCTAAATAGGGACACTTTTGAGGTATGGCACTGTGTATCTGAAAATCATTACATTAATTTACATTGGCTGCTATATGTTTTTAGTCCCACTTAAGTATATAGTACTCACAAATTTTATCAACGCATCTTCAATCTCTAGCTTCTCACTGGACAACTTGTCCCATTTTGACTCCAGCAATGTCAGAATGTCCTCTATTTCCTGGAGTGCTTCCTTACGAAGACTTTGCTGTGATATAGGATACAGTAAAAGAAAATAGGAATGAGGAGAATATTCTTAAATGTAATGGAATCTAGAGAAGGTCAATCTGATTATTAATCTATAATGAATGAGTTTAGAATAATCTTGACAGGCGCATTGTTGCAATATGTCAGCTGGTGGAAATAACCCCTGCAAAAGCCATCCCAATAAAACGCGAACACTATTGGTGTATGGGTCAAATATGTCCATAGTTTTAAAGGTTCACTATAGTGTAAGGAAAACAAAGCGTTTTTCCTGATACTACAGTGCCCTGAGGATGCCCCCACCCTCAGGGTCCCCCTCCCGCAGCGCTGAAGGAGTTAAAACCCCTTCAGCCATTTACCTTATTCCTCCCTGTCCGACGTCAGCTCCCCCGTCCGACGTCACTGGAGCCAAATGTGCATGCGCGCAAGTGCAGCGTTCGCATTCAAAGTGTCCATAGGAAAGCATTTCTCAATGCTTTCCTATGGACGCTCTGCACGATGGAGGCCATATACACCTCCAGCGTCGCAGATGCGCCTCTAGTGGCTGTCCAGAATACAGCCACTAGAGGCTGGATTAATCCCAAATGTAAACATAGCAGTTTCTACGAAACTGCTATGTTTACATGTGAAGGGTTAAAACCTGAGGGACCTGGCACCCAGACCACTTCATTGAGCTGAAGTGGTCTGGGTGAATATAGTGTCCCTTTAATAATTTATAAAATAAATAGAAATAAAGGTATTGCTCCCAACCATGACATACAATGTAACATATCACACATTGTCATCAAAAGGCAATGACAAATATCCATATACAATAACATTAACAATATAATGAACAGTAAATAAAATCATAACAATAAATAATTAAAGGGCCAACAAATGTTTTTAAATAACTATGGTTGGGGTATACCCAGATACCCCTACACCCACCAGGTTCTGAGCTACCAACGAGCTTGTAACCTACCAAACTTATAACCAACAGTATGTAGTAATAAGCTTTACCTCACCAGCCCCTCCACAAACTCTGACCTTGATCCCTTAAGTCCTCTGACCTCCACCACCCCTGAGAAACAAAGCCTTGCTCAGCCCTTGCTGGAATCAACTCACTCTACACGTAGGCACACAACCTCCCCACAACCAACCTCCAAAAACATGCACAATACAGTAAAAAAAATTTACGGCTTATGAGTAACTGTGGTAGGTAGACATTAATAATCACAATCCAAACTAAATCCACAATAGAATGTCTTGCCAAAACAGAATGTCTAAGAACATGGCAACATTTTCTTCTAGATTGTAAGCTCATTGGATGTGAGAGGAAGTTATGGTGTTCATCTACAATGCAGTGATGGATATGGGTGTGATATGACATGGAGTTACACTGTGTCCGTAGTGCATTGATTCACATTGGATGCTATATGTGTCCATAAAGGCTGCACTCACAATTTGTCTCCGAGCTGTTTCAATCTCTTCCAGGCTGTCTATCAGCTGTGTTACTTCATCTGCTATTATCTCTAGTTCTTCATCATTAAATCCACTCTGTGATATACACATAAATGTAACTATTAATAAAACATGCGGGGGGGTGGGGGAGGGGAGAGAAATACTCCTTCTAGATTTGTTCCTTCACCCCTTAGTGAAATATTATAATACAGTTGTGTTAATAACCAATATTTTATTCATAAAATAGAAGTTACCTTTCCTAGCTCCCCCGTAAAGATTAAAATGACAATTGTTATGAATACCATGTGTAATCGCTGCCACCTTTGAATATAATCTGTGGTATGTATCTAACATGTATGGCAGCCAGTGATGCATGTGGTTATGGTGTGACATGGAGTTTCTCTGTGTATCTGTAATGCGTTACATTGATTCACACTGGATGTTATATGGGTCTAGTTCCACTTAAGGGAGTACTCACTATTTTTATCAGGACCTCTTCAATCTCTTTTATCACTGGAAAGATTTTCCCATTTTTCTTCCAGCAATATCAATTCATCGATTATTAACCGGAATGCTTCCTCTTCAAGGCCTTGCTGTGATATGGGATACAGAACAATAGTAATGAGGAGAAAACTCTTAAATGTTAACGATTCTAGAGAACTCCAATCTACTCAATAATCTCTATTGAGTGAGATTATATTTTATCTTTTTCTTCACTCATTATAAAACACACACATAAATTAATCTATTGATAAGATATATAGAATATAGAAATATAACAATAATTTATCAGACAGAATAAGGTGATTTACCATTCCCAGCTCCATGTTTGATAAATGTTAATTATTGCTGTAAATTGCCTGTTTGCTATGAATACCACGTGTAATTGCTGCCACTGTTCAATATACACTGGTGATGAAGCTCAGCTGAGCTGGGCATTCCTAGATCTGGTCTCAATGACATCATTACAAATGTGTGACATTCTCATTGGAGGGGGTGGCTAATGATGTAATCCAGATACAATCATACCACTATGTCAGGTAAACATGCCCTGCTAAACCCAGCTTAATATTTGAGGTATTAAAGAATTTAGAGTATGTTTTTCAAAGCCTGGGAGTAACTGTGGTAGAAGACATTACTAATCACAACATATCTACTAAACAATAGATATAACAGAATGGGCAAAATGACCTCCTAGATTGTAAGCTTGTTGGGGCAGAAACCTTTTCACCTAATGGTTCAGTTGGCTTCATTTTTATTTGTCAAATTAATGTTTTAATCTGTACTAATACTGTGAATTTTTTTTGGCACTGTGTAAATAATCATAAGAAAAGTTAACTATTAACTATTCATTAGCCCCTTAAGGACTGAGCCAAATGTACACATTGTGAAAAAAACAAAACGTAAACAAAACCTGGCATTTGCGCTACATGTCTGTCCAACCGTAATTCTCCTCTTTCATATTAAATGTACCCACCCTTATTATATATCATTTTATTCAGGGGAAACAGGGCTTTCATTTAATATCAAATATTTAGCTTTGAAACATAATTTAATATGAAAAAAATGGGAGAAAATAAGAAATGTTGTAATTTTTTCTGTCAATGTCATAATACTGTTTGCTTTTACTGCAATAAAATACACATATTTGTATTCAAAGTCTCACGTGTAAAACAGTACCCCCTATGTACAGGTTTTATGGTGTGCTGACAAAAGCCATATGACAACTACCAGCACGTTCAAGAATAGCACCTGCTCTGGTTGTGGAAATATTGGTCATACAAAAAGACAGAAGTTAGAAATAAAGCTAAATTAAGTCATGTTCAAACCAAAGATTTTAATGAAGACATACCATTATACAAATTACCAATCTACAGTCTTGCAAAGTGAATTCCAGAACTGCAAGCAAAGGTTTATATAGATAGTAATTCTCTCGCTATGGATATAGATGCAGGAGCAGTAGTTTCTATCATTTCATATAGTGACTGAGACAGACTGGGACTAGAACACTCATTTGTTCCAACAGCTGTCACCATACAAAAGTATTCAAGTAACATAATAAAACCTATTGGGTGTCTATCACCTACTATGATGTTTAACTAAACCACTACAACTCTACATTTTACTTAAAAATAATTTTTGTTAGATTATGGAACAAACCTGTTGGTATGCCAAAGTTACCACAACAGTTACATCTTAATAACATAATAGACCAAAATAACAGTTCTAATTCTACTGTGTTTAACCAAAGGCAAGCAAAATTGGCTTCACTTAAAGGCAAACGGTATTCCAAAATTTAATGACACATAAAACTGAAAAATTGTCAATTGTTGATCAATATCCTTTACTACGGTTTAAAAAATTGTTCAGTTCCCTTACGGGTGGTGAGTAGAGTTGAGCGAACCCGAACTGTAAAGTTCGGGTTCGTACCGAACATTATGATTTTTTGAACCCGAACCTGGACATTTCAGTAACAGTTCGGGTTCGAGTTCGGTGTTTGGCGATTTAATGGCGCGTTTTGAAAAGCTGCAGGGCAGCCAATCAACAAGCGTTTGACTCGTGTGCCCTTAGAAGCCATCATAGCCATGCCTACTAATGGCATGGCTGTGATTGGCCAGTGCAGCATGTGACCCAGCCTCTATGTAGGCTGGAGTCACATGAGCTCTTATTAAACATGTCTAGTAAACAGTGAGCAACCAAAGAACTTTCCCACGCTGTGTAAAATGACACGGAGCACTCTGATTGGTTAGATTCCAAGCCCACCTATTAGAGTGTTATGAGTCAAATTACACAGCGTGGGAAAATTCCAAAGAACTTTCCCACGCTGTGTAAAATGACACAGAGCACTCTGATTGGTTAGATTCCAAGCCCACCAATCAGAGTGTTATGAGTCAAATTACACAGCGTGGGAAAATTCCAAAGAACTTTCCCACCTGTGTAAAATGGCAAAGAGGTTGTCCTACTCTTACCTCCATTTTAGTGCCCAAAAGTTCGGGTCCCCATTGACTTGGGTTCGGGGTCAAGTTCGAGTCCCGAACTCACACTTTTTGCCGAAGTTCGGCCGAACCCGGCGAACTCGAACATCCAGGTGTCAACTCTAGTGGTGAGAAATGTACAAAAATTTACTTACATCAAGTGTTCTCAGTTGGAGGTACATCCCGACTCCAGACACCTATGAACTAGCAACACTCACAAAAGACTTTTTTAGTATACACGGATGTCCCCAACCCAGGAGGGGCACCCTGTGGGAGCAGGTAAAAGGCCCTAACAATGCACGGGGGGAAATCTCCAAGAAGTAATATACAAAGTTCAGAATTCCAGAAGAAAATGCTGGGTTATGGGATAGGGGAAACAAAGGAGATGAATGGAAGGAAATATGCAACTTAGCGATGTTTATTAAAAATACTAAGTGTCGGACCAATAAAAAGGCACTTGCATGTAGCTTATGAGGCAATCTGATGGTAGTGACAACCAAGAATTAAAAAAATAATAATAAAACCATTTTAATGAGATGTATGAGGTTGATAGGATGAACACAACTTTTCAATATTTGGTGGAATATGAGATAAGATCACTCGCATTTCATCATCAAGAATGTTTAAGTGTCCACATTTCAGCATCTTTAAGTTTGTTATTGTTGAAAATGATACTTCACAAATGTAAGTAGTAGGAAACTGCAGAAGAATTTTTAATACTTTTTTAATTATGTTTGAATGCATTTTTGATAGGCGAATCCAAAAACTGTCTAAGTCACCCTCTTCATACAACATTAACAGACTTCGATCATTTTTAATTTCAGCTAATACTTCTTATTCAATAAGTAAAAGGTTTCCATTGCAGTTGAAAGAAATGGATTTCTGATCCAACCATAGTTTTGGATTTCAACATTTGGGAAGTGATGATGAACTTTCTCTCCAAGTGGTCAGCAATTAGTGAGCTGATATTACACTTTAGCTTGCACTCAGCAGTTTTAGAAAACACTTAAAAAGTTCCTTCTTTCACTTTCCTTTTCCAAAATGCTATTTTGTCTATTTTGTCTCTCGTAGCGCAAATATTATCTACCGCTATTAAGATATTTTCTCCTTTTTCTTCTATACTGTTGTTAAGTTTATTCAAATATGTCAGCAAGATATGCCAATTTGGTGCAACAAAGTTTGTATTGCATTGGATCATAGATTCCTTTTGCTGTTTTTCCTCAAAACGTTTAAAGGGACACTGTAGTCACTATAACCACTTTGTCTCCTTGAATTGGTTATAGTGCCTGAAGTGGCCTGGCACTGTCCCTCCATTCATGTTGCAAACATGTTGCACCATGTTTGTGCAGTATGCCACAAAAGAAGAGTCCCTTGCCACCCACAGTCTGGCCCCTTCTGTATGTGTAGCTAAGGCAGAGATTACACACTTTCTTGTTGTCATACCCATTCATACCGTCAGTTGGAGCTCTGACAGGTTAAAAGCAGTCAGCTGACACACTAAGCCAATCACAGCTGCCCATTGCCTCTCAGGGTAATACTTCCTTATTAGCCAAAACAGCACAGAGGGGATAGTCTGCCGTGGACTCTTGTTTAGCATTAAAACATTACAACATTAAAAATTGTTTAATGCTGAAAGAAATGATGGTACCAGGGGACTCCAGACACTATAACCAGTTTAATGAGATGAAGCAGATACAGTGCTGTGAAGAAATGACTCCGTTCATCAGGATTTCTACCTTTGTTGTGCAGTTAATTCACCCAATTCAGCTGGAATTCAGGATATAGCTTTAATTTCTACCCTTCGGATGGATTCAGGCGAATTCCCCGTGTAAAATCTAGGTGGCCGCCATTTCGGCACTTTACACGTGGCCGCGGCCATTTTACGTGCGAACAGCGGTGTTTGCCCGTCAACGCGTGGAACTAAAATCGGATACGCAAACAGGCGAACACCGCTGAGACCTCCATACATCCAGAACTTCGCACGGGAAAAACCGAATCACCGGCCGTTCGGTAGTTACATGCAACTTCGTATGGGGATTTCAACGACCACGAAGATGCGAACGGATGGCAGGGCTTTCGTCTCTTTTATTCGCCTAAACGGAGACCGACCGCAGGGCCAAAACTTATGGAACTATTTTCGGCTAGATGATCCGTGCGGTCGGTCAAAACTTTAGTGCTCCATAACTCCCGAACCATTCATCCGAATGGACTGATTTTTTGACATGTTGTCCCCACAAATGAGAACTATCCAGCGGTGCCCAATTTAAAGGTGTACCCCCTGTTTTTGGGGTACATCCAGAACTGGGGTAAAATAGTGCACGTTTTAATGAAGTTAACTGTTTATCAGAGGGGAGGGAGGTAGGGGCTGTAACCTATACCTGATTGGTGATTTAATGCCTCCCCCTGGGTGTGTATTTCTTGTCTGTAACCCTAATAAAAAGCAGGCTGGAGATTCCAGACCTCAGATCTACTTGTATCCTGATTCTGGACTCTGACTGTTATTTGGGAATTCGTATGCTTTACCAAGGGAATTATCTTGGGAAGCTGTTATATTTCTTATGGACTTCATTGCTTAGAGCTACCTTGGACGCTGACATTGCAGGAGGAATTATCAAAGCGGTTCAGCTATACTAGATTTCCTTACAAGTGCCTACGGTGTCCCTTTAAGCATCATGTCCCTCAATTCATATACAAAGCAAAACACTCGATCTCTTGAGAGCCAATGAATGTCTGTGTGTAGTAGACACTTTTTAAACCTTGCCCCCATTTGTTCACAAATATGAGCATATAAACTTGATTTAAGAGGTCTACTTTTAATGTAATTGACCATTTGAACCACTTTGTCCATAATG